ACATGAAATAAAGAACAGATAACATAATGATTTCAGTGTGGTTTGTAGAGGCATTCAAATAGCGTTCATATGCAAAATTAAAAGATTGTCTACATAGCTTAGTAAACTAAAATGGCATTCGTCAAATGACCTAGCATCATTTGCGGAACACTATAGCATAAAATTCACCAATTAATATCAGTTTGACTGAAGTTATTGGGATAATCAGATATCAAATTTAGTTACTTACACTTCTATCTCATGAACCGTTGAAAAATGTTGCTCTATGTTGTCAACTTCATTGTTGCACAAAGTACAACAGGTCTATAGTCAAGTACATATTAATTTTAAGTATTTGTAATTAACAAATTTCTCCTTTTTACATGTGGTAACCTATATCAGAAGGTTTTCTTTAAATATTTCTTACACTTTAATCAACTCAGAGCTTCCCATACAAATTTTGGGCTCAACCACTGATGTTTACCAAGGGTCATGGTGTTACCATGCATAATATTCTTCTATGTGAATAAAGCTATAATAATAATAATGATAATAATAATGATAATAATGATGATGATGATGGTATTTCTTGAAAGAGGGGTCAAATTTTAGTCTGTAGCAAGTTTAAACTAATTATCTTCGTTATTTTCGGAGATATAGCTTCGTAAAAGCTATACAAAGTCAAAGAAGCCATCTCCAGCATGAAAAAGGGGGCGTGGTGACTAAATTTCAAAGTGTCATAGTTTAAAAACTTGAAAATTGAAGCTAATTTCTTTTGACATATCAAGGTATTTTTTAGAAAATCTAAGGGTTGGGGGGGTCACATGGCAACTTTTAAATTTCTAGCTGATTTGAGCGAGAATGACCCAATAATAATAATAATAATAATAATAGTTATTGTTAATGTTATATTACAAAATTGATTTGATTTGAGCCAGAATGACCCAATAATAATAATAATAATAATAATAATAATAATAGTTATTGTTAATGTTATAAATATTACATAATTTTACGGTTAATGATGGAGCGAGGTAATTCAATCGTAAGGATCTATGTTAGAAGGCCTAAGTTAAAAAACTATTAGTTTTGTCTTGTTTGCTTTACCCTTACTAACTTATCCTTAAATTTTGCTGCTTGAAAAAAAAATCTACACTATTCAGATAAGAAGGGATTATCTCTGGCTGGATTTCTTCAGTTGCCATCCACAGCAGAATATTTTTAAAACTTTATTTTATTACTATTATCTATTACTGTTATTTTTCAACTGTTGGTATAATGTACATAAATTTTCCTATACAATATGAATTTTCTTACCATTTCTTCATCATCCGGTTCCGGTTCAGAACATTCACTAAAAAAAAAAAAAATAATAATAATTGTAACATCCAAAAGTATTTTTAGAAGTTTTGTATTCTTTATATGTGTGTGTTAAAAACCACTGCATTTTGTGTTATTTATCTGGATGTGGTCTGTTCTATAAATTAAGTGATTTTGAACTGGCTAAGCAACTAGTTAACAATTTCAAGTTAAAAACCTGTCTGTGGTGTGCTGTGCAAAATAAACCAAATTGTAATTATAGGAAGATGCTTCAACATTAATTAACTATTTTCCACAGAACTGATGATACCTACTTCTTAGATTGGTTTAACTTACCCATTTTCAATTGTTGTCAGAATTATGTTAACTTCGTTTAACTGCAAAAAATGTGCAATTAAGAGTAAATAAAAATTAAAATATACTTATATGGTCAGTGCAGTTGAATAAGGAAATAATAGAATTGTAACCAAGTAGTCTATGTTAGCATCTCATTACAGGTTTGTTGTAACTCCCTTTAG